AATTGTGCCTCTGCTATTTCACAGAGGATGTCCAGGAGTACTGTTATTGGCTCGCCTCTAGCACTAACTCAGCCAAGTGGATTTATTAACAGTAATTCTGACTCTGTTATGTCTGTCACTTAAATAATGACTCCATTTTGAAACCTTGTGAAACTGTATCAGTGAAACAGTTGACTGTTGACTTTGATATGTGGCTACACACATAGCTCAGACACCTTGCAGACTCACACTCTTTAATGTGACAGTAAAGAAAGCCAAACTGGTGTCATGCACAGGACTGCGTTATGTCACACAGAGCAAAGTCAGGATTGTGAGGTCAAAGACACAAAACTGGTTTAGAAAAAAACAACCAAACAAAAAAAAAGCCAAACAGTAAGAGGAAGAATGACAAAAAAGCTACCATCCTTGTCACCAAGCAGATAGGCCTGGCTAGCAGAAATCCACAAACAAGCAAGTGATACATATTCATGGAATTGCAACTTTTAGAACTGTGGGCTTATTTATTAAAAAAAATACATTTAGGTCAGGAAAGTTGTGTATGATACATTTTTATAATCCATTCCACTTAAGCAACTGCTACATGCTGCACCTTATCTGATCTCCTCCTGCTTTCTAAATTGTAAGCAGCAGTGTGACAAGGAACAAAACAGACTGTGGAAGGTCATCCTCACATGGAAGCTGTGTCACTGCACAAGCTCTCGTGGTGCACATTTATGTGGTCTCCATCACCACACTTAGAAAGAATGCCTCTTGCATTTTTAAAGGTCTGGAGATTTCAAATGTATTAGTAAGTATATTATCCTCACACGTAATGAATACCTTTATCCATTTTATGAGGCAGTGACACTTTGCCAACATACTCATTTTCAGCAATTTAATTTAAAAACCAAATTTGTCAGAGTTGTAAATTTGGCTTCTGAATTTCCCTTCAAACCTCTCTCCTATGACAAGTGTTAGATGTTTTGATAATTTATTGCTGTCAGTTTTGGTTTCTTAGCTTTCTCATCATCTAAGAACAGAAAAAAAAAGTCATGGGATTCTAGCAGCACAGTTTAAATTTTCCATTGGCTTACCATGTATGAAAATTCAGTCTTACACAAGTGTAATATAAAATACTGCAAAGATTAATCTCAGTACTTTGCTTGTCTAAAATCTTGTATTTTCCAAAGGGAAAAATCGATATTTAAATAGCTATTTAAAGTGTTAAAACTTACTGTCATACTCTGCTCCCAATCTCAACAATAAACGAATGGGAGAAGCTTTTGCCCAGGGTGTTTCCAGTTTATGGAAGAGAATGCCACAAAGAAAGGGGTTATGTGGTAGAATCTGATCATCAAATTTCTGAAAAGTTGGTGAAACAAACAGGAATCCTCCATGCTCTTTGTTACCAAGGAAGTTTTCAGTAAAAGTGATGTTTTCCATGTTTCTTATTAACCTTCCTGTAGAAAGAAGGACAGTGAGCCTTTGCACATCTGGAGAAGTAACACAGTGGCATCAAGAGAACTACTCTTACCAGTGATGTCCTACAGACTTGTAAGCTGTATGGTACCTCTCACATCTTCCTCAAAGTCCAACAGACATCTAAACCCATAGTCTAAGTGCCCTATATTTACTAACTAAATGATCTTCAATACATAAGTAGGTTTTTCCAAATAAATGACAAAAACCCTAGAGTGTACAACGTTCAGGCACACACCAACTGATGAACTTCAATTAACAGACTTCAAATATTCATAAACATAAGAGTACTCTGTATTTCTACAAATGAAGTTCCAGGTGTCCTAAGCCATGGAATCAAAGACTTACACCCAGAATCCCTAACACAGCATGACTGAACAACAAAAAAACTGCCAACAGGATGTTTTCAGAAGTGCGTGAAACAAAGAAATTTAAGATTTTTCTCTTTCTGTTGCTTACTTAGTACCCAAGGCTAACAGTGCAAGTTTTCAACAGAATCATTAGATTCCCACAAACACTTCAAGAAAATTACATTATCAACTACCAATTTAAAAGTCAGCAAGAAGGTATTATATAGTCAAAAGTTAAGACATTAAAATTACATACCTTTCATTGCATCCTTATAGATGTGAATAAATAATTTTAATATTTCAATAGGAAAGATTTCTTCATGTGGCAAACGCTGCAAAAGAATTATAATTTCTGCCTGGCGCAAAGCATGTAGTCCATTTGTTGAGAAGTACCAGCACTTTTCTGAAGAATCTTTAATTAAAAACATAGATGCCACAGTAATGTTGTTTTACAGTCAGAAAAAAAAAAGGCTGGAATTAATCAAAAAGAAAACATGCACTACTTACAAGTGATTAGCTTGACATTCACAAGCAAGTTTGCATTGAGGATAAAAGTTAATGGGTTAGGACTTCCTTCCACAAGAAGCAAGGTGACCTGTTGGTGAGATGGATGTTCTTCCACTATGGGATCTAAATAAACAACACTGAATTTAGTTTGACACATTGGCCAACTCCTTAAAATAAGAATTATAGATCATAGGAAAGACTGTTTCATCCTCCTGTCTTCAGAGGGTGGTCATTATTCTCAAACTCAGCAGCATAGCTACATATGAACCAATGAATAGCTTACCCTAAGATTCAAGGAAACTAAACAAAGTAACTTGTATCAAAGGTGCCAACTAGGGCTACCATTCATTTGGTAATTACCACTTGTGTATGCTGCCTCCTCATCCACTTACTGATGCTGTGAATTACCATCAATGGGCTGAGTTATTACTATAATGCATTTAAGTGATGAAGTACTCTCTTCATAACCTATCAACCTTGTTATAATGTATGTTCAATTATCCAGCAATCCAGTGTGCAGCAAGTAAGTGAGAGATTAGGATTGTACTAAAAGGAATGATATACACACAAGTTCACATTTAGAAATCTCGCATCAGGTGATGGAATACTATCCAGTTTACCTTTTCCACTTTCACCCACTGCAAGCAGAAGCGGTGGCAGTTTATCGCCGTCAGGAACAAGGCTGATCTCAGTACGGACACAGTTTTCGACACCACATAGTGCTCTGTAACATGAAGGACTAACAGGCATATCGCTTGCAGTCTGATCAGCTGAGCCAGAACTAGGCTTTTCAGGTTCTGCAGTAGGAGAACATGCTGAAGTTTCTAGAGTTTCAGATTTACAGCTATGCACCACCTCACTCTGGCCTGGAACAGCCTGCTGTGCAACACTTGAAGAAACAGGACAATGTAATTCCTCTCTTCTTTTAAAAATATCCGCTTCTTCCTTGGGTTTTGGATTTACATCAGTTAATGTGTCATCTTCTTCTGGATTTGCAGCCTATGAAGAAGAAGAAAAAAAATGTAGACTCTTGTCTCAAAAAAGCTAAGCTTTCATTACCAGCATTGCAGAAGCAAAATGAGATAGACATTTATCACAAATACCTAGAATGCATTTCCTCTAAACAAGAAGAAAGCCACTGAATACCTCTTGCATCTTCCTTTTTTCTTCTCCCCATCCTTAGGGGGTTACATTAGGTGAAAATGCATCATTAATTTATTTGTTCAGGAACACGTAATTCCTATCAGAGCACTGCAGATTAGTCATCTTAGCATAAAACAGATGTTACACAATCAATGATAAACCAAGTACCCCTCCAGGAATCCATTTAATATTACTGAACACTCTCATCATAGCAATTTGCCATCACTGGGATCAGCAGCTCAGTACTTCAAATGTGGTTTTTTTACAAGAAAAAAACCTAACAGCTCTATGCTTGCCATGTAATAGTTCTCCTGGTATGCCACCAGCTTCCAGCAAATGCCCTGTTAAGAGCACAAGTCAGGAAAAGAAAATAAAAAAGGACAACAACCCCAAAAATAACACCCCACAAACAAAACCATGACTAAATTGGCCTCTCCTAGAGTCCTTTGCCATGAGTTTGCTTGCTGCTGTTCCTTAATGCTGGATAATTTCAACCTCCAGTGTGGCCAGGAGTGTGTGACCTAGTAAAGTACATACCGTGCTTCAGAGCTGCAGTAGGGTGGTTTTGTCTCAGCTTCCAAAGCTGCACACAAGACATCAACTACTTGTTTCCCCACTCACTTTGTCCATGCTGCTTTTAATTTTAGACACTGGTTATCTTTTGCAAATTAAAATAGCCTATTCTTTCCCCAAAATGGAAGACAAGGTATACCTTTTGAGTACTGCAGCTTACTGGAGTCCTCTCTTGTTCAGATGAAGTGACACTTACTATTATCCATTCTCTATGAATTAAGGCTGATTTACATGCCATACATTTGGTAACTGTTCAGACCCTCCACATACAAACTATCTGATCTTAACATTCTTAAACAGTGGCAAAATTTATTTGATCAGTTGAGACAGTGCTTCAGAGCTACATCTTAAAAAGGGTCCAGTTGCAGAATCTCTGCAAATCTTTCCACAGCAAACTTACACCACTTCTTTGGACTTGTAAAGTGTAACCAGTTCAACACCAGGAATATGATTTATTATAAAAAAGCCAATTAGTTCACATTAGAAGCAAGAGGTAGATTTTTCTGCACCCTATAACATGGTTTTCTAGGGCAATAATCAAATTCTGGCTGCTCTAATCAAACAGATGAACTACAGCAAGTCACTGGAAAAAAAAAAAAAACACCCACAAACTTCTACTGTCAGTGTGTTGTTAATGACAGGCTTCAAAACAATGGCTGAGGTTACCTTCATAAAAGTAGTTAAATGCTGTGCAGGAAAAAAACTTGGTTTTGGAAAATTTTATGCCATACCTTTTCTGAAGTTCAAAAACACCCCAAACTAAACATGGCCTCCTTTGAAGTATGGTCTACAGAATCTTTCAATCCAAGGACTTCATAGACACCTTACAAAAAAGTAATCAAATACTGGCTCAGATTCCAAAAGCTGTGAAGCAAAACTCATATGATGGTAGGTAAGGGGCACCATCAACAGCAAGAAAACTTATTTCAAGATGTAATTCATGCACCTAAACACACAATTCATACCATGCACCTCCCTAGCAAGTCCAGGTTTACAGGACTTACATCCTGTGATGGACTCTTTGCTGCAGACGAAAGTTTTCTTGTATCTGCTGCTTCACCATTTGGCAAGATACCATCTGCAAACCAAACTCTCCTCTGTTCTCTGGGGCACGGCCCTAGGACAGATTAAGAAAATGTCACTGACTTCATATTATTGTACTGTTCTAATAGCTGAAAGGAATAAAAACAAGCCCCCTCTCCTCCCAAGCACACAGAGAATCTGTTTACTGAAGCCAAGCACAGGCAGACAGTTGGACATCAGCCAGTCTCTAGTCAGGCAAATACATGGGGGAAAAAAAAAGTCTCATACCTGGCAGAGGAAACTGCCATGCTACAGTTAAATTTGTCAATTCCTGTATAAGGAGAGCTACTTCCTCTGTAGTAAGAGAGGAATGAAGCACATATTATAACTAGAAGATGAAATACCCTCCAAAAATGTCATAGAATCACAGAATGTTAGGGGTTGTAAGGGAACTCCAGAGATCATGGAGTCCAACCCCCCTGCCAGAGCAGGACCATCTAGTCTAGGGCAGGTCACACAGGAACGCATCCAGATGAGTCTTAAAAGTCTCCAAGGTAGGAGATAAGTCAGTTTATCACTTTGAAGCCCTGAATAAGGGTTACCATATGGGTGATGTCCACAACCAGGCAAGAAAGGCCCTCCCGACTGGTTTTCACCCAGAGTCTGGCCAGTCTTGGGTGGGAACTGATTAGGAGACCACCACGAGGTGTCCCCACCTTCCACATTAACTTGGAGGTGGGGCAAGAAGCCACCTCTATAAGAACTGATTCTGGCTGCAGTGCAGTTGGAAGGCCTGCCCACACAATTGTCTGGGGTTCTGGCTATCAAAAGGGCTCCCTGACTCCTCACAGGAAGTGGAATTCCCAGGATGTCAGAGCAAGATTGTGAATTTCTGTCTGGGACTCATGCATGCCCTGACTGATGCCATCTCCCATGGCTTGGATATTTGGCCAGCTTGCTCCCTTCTGCACATCCTGTGTTGCAAGTGAGTGCATTAACTTATTCCTCCCTCCAGTGGTTCACCACCTTGGATTTCTGGTGTATGGTTTAGGAGTGAAGGGAGCACTGTGGTTGCTGGTCTGCCCATTAATGATACTATCCTTCACAGTTGGGCAAGTGGTCAGCAGAAGAAACTTAAAAAAAAATTTTCATTGAAAAAGGACAGGTATTTATTAGAAGTGGATCAAAGACAATACTTAGACACCAGTCATTGGATTTACACAGGAAATGAACCTCTATTGCTCCCTAGCAACTTTTACATAAACAAATACTTATTGTTCTTACAGTAAGACTGGAAGTCATAACAAAAAGCAGAGATTGCCTAAGCTATAAAAGAAATAAAAGTAATATCTACATAAAAAAACCCCAACAATATCGACAGAGAGGATAAAGAAAAAAGTAACATCCAGATTTTATAAATGGAGACTTATGACAGACTTGGTCAAGCTCATGCATGGCATCAAAACTGGGAACTAAACGTAACTTTCCAGTGTCCCTGTGTCATGTTTACAGGGGCTGGGACCAGTTTATCCTTATGTGGGTAGAACCAGAACTGTATATTCTATACTCTCTATGTCAGTGCTCATGGGCTGTTAAGAAAATCATTGGTAGCAGCTGTCCAGGACAGACCTCACACCCCAAGCTATAACAGATAAATAAAGAGGTCTGGGGAGATGTTAACACCTTCCCACCCAGCAGGAGGAGTCCTCCCTGTTAATGGGCCCATCCATGCCTCACCCCATGACTCATACAGAACTCCCCCCAGGAGCTATTTCTGTTTAATGGACCATCAAGGACCCACTGCATGACTCACAGACTGATATCAACCCATTGTGAGATGCTCCACCCAGGGGGAGGAGCCAAGTGCTCCCACCTGGATATAAACTGGGGTTCAGGACAGCACAGGGGGCCTTACCCACCAGATTTCCAGAGGACAAGAGCTACCAGACCTTTTTCTATGAGACCACTGCTTCATCCGGACTGCTACCACCACCCTAACTACAGAGTATCAGGTTGTATTCTGACTCTGTCTGTGGTTTTCCTTTGTATTATTGCATTTATTTTTTTTCCTATTAAATTGTATTTCTGACTTGGAGTCTCTCACTGGTTTGTTTTCAAACCATTACACCCTGTTCACAGAATTTCTACTTCCCACAAAAAATATCACAGTAACAAGTAAGTATCTGTGATGCGATCAACAACTCTTTCCAAAGAGACCCTGAAAGTGTTAGATGCACTGCACCATATTTAGCATACCTTCAATACCAGGTTGCTTAAGTACTGAGATAGGTAACAAAGCAGAAGGTGAAGGATCTCTAGCACCACCAGCTGCCTGGGCTTCATCTGCAGGTGGAACAGCAGAAGACTCAGAGGAAATACTGGAACGGGGACCAGGACCAGTTGGATTCATCATTCTTTCAAATGCCTGTGCTAAGAAAAACCCAAAGTGGTTAATTTTTAAGACCTCATAACTGATTAAATTTTGTTTGCAGTGCATTATTAGGGGTGAGTTTTTTTGCAAGATCACCACACAAATTTTATTAAATCAAATTCCATTCAGGTGACTTACTAAAATCTGGTGTGCTTTCCATTTCTTATTTAATTATTCATCAGGACCTTGATTTTTGCTCCTCATGTCTCCATGAGCATACATGCTTAGCCACCAGTTAAGAAAAGATTATCTTAGGATTCATTACTGTAGTACTCTTAAGCAACTTGTGAAAATATCAGGAGATAAAGCTAAATAAAATGGGCAAATAACATGTGAAACAATCAGGCATATGGTCTTCAAGCATACAGAAGGTTGCTGTGGAGGGAGGATACCTTCTGCTACACTCCTGCCACAAATTAGCAATAGCATAACTTTGTGTAGACCTATGGAGTTCAAACCTACTTTTTTAAAAATAAAAAAAAATGAGCTTGCTGCTTCAGGTTTAAAATGAGAACTGAAATCCAACTGAAAGGTACAATTATTCTCTTCATCCCTACATCTCAGTGTCATAGTTTGAACTCAGCTGGCAGGCAAACACCAGCAGCTGCTTACTGCTCACCCTGCCCCTGCCCCAGGTAATGGTGGAGGGAACTGGAGGGGTAAAGAGGACTCGTAGGTTGAGATACAAGCAATTTAATACTTGAAATTCAAATAATAATGATAATACCATCAATAACAGAACATACAAACGCGTGATGGCCAATGCAATTGCTCACTGTCCACGGACCAAGGCCTGGACTGTTCCTGGTCTGTGACCCTAGACAAGAAAATGCTGGAGTTGCAATCTGGCAAGAGGGCACGAGCTTCTCAGCCCACCCCATAACTACATGCTGAGCATGATATGATAAAGAACATTCCACTGGCCACTTTTTGTCCATTGCTCTGGCCACGCTCCCTCTCAGCTTCCTGTACATCTGCACACTAGCAAGACAGGGGAAGCTGAAAAGTCCTTGATTTCCTACCAACAGCTAAACCCATCAGTGTATTATAAATGTTCCTCTCATGCCAATTCCTACACTGAATCCAAAACACAGCTCTGTTCTGGCCATGACAAAGAAAAATTAGCTCTATGCCAGCTGAACCAGAACACTCAGAAATAGGAAACAATGCACCAGTTAAACTAGTGAAGCCCCTAAAAGAAGAAAGGTGAAAGAGACTTTAGCCATACCTAGTCATTCTTTAATGATTGCTGCAGTTACTCAGAAAAAACTTTTTACCTTTATTAATGTTGTTGTAACATCCAGTACAGACTCTTGCTTCCTTCTCCAGGTACTGCAGTTTGCATTTTCGTTTGCAACAGCTAACACAGAACACCTGAACCAGAAAATTATTAAGTTATTATAGACAAAATCCCAGTATTTCCTGAATTAAGTTCTTCTTATTATCATTTATGCATTTTACTAAAGCAGATGGCATTATATAAAAATTACTAAAAATATTTTTAATGCATCCAGCTCTGGAATCCTCAGCACAATACAGACATGGAACACCTCTGATATGAGGAGAGGCACAGAGACATGGGTGGGGTTTTCAGCCTGGAGAATGCTCCAGAGAGACCTTCTTGCATCCTTTCAATATATAAAAAAAGGCTTATAAGAAAGATAGGAAAAGGCTTTATACCAGGTGCCTGTAGCGACAGGACAAAGCTCAACAATTTTGAACTGAAGGAGGGTAGACTTAGATTGGACGTAAGGAAGAAATTCTTTACAATGGGGATGGTGAGGCACGGAAACAGGTTGCCCAGAGAAGTTCTGGATGTCCCATCGTTGGCAGTGTGCAAGTTCAGGCTGGATGGGGCTCTAAGCAACCTGACCTAGTCAGAGATGTTGCTGTGCACAGCAGTAAGATTGGACTAGACGATTTTTAAAGTTCCCTTCCAACACAAACCATTCTACAATGCTATGATGAAGAAACTGAAAAGTTCCACAATTTGTGCCAAACTATAAAGTCATAGAATCACTTTGTCTGGAAAAAAACTTTGAGATCACCAGAGTCCAGCAATTAACCCTGCTGTACCAAGTCCACCTCAAAGCCACATCCCCAAGCACCACATCTACATGGTTTTTAAAAACATTAATCCTGGTTATTCAAAACAGGGCCTCCATAAACAGTGGAAATTGGAAGAGAAGTAGTCTTCAAAGCTACAGCTGTCCACAGCAGGTTCAATTAGACCAGGTAAGAGCCTGGCCAGAGACAGTGAAGTAATTCAACAAGGAGTCAGAACAGTATTTTTTCAGACCCAGTGAGGAACAAGATTACCCCAGACCCAAACATTACTCCTGGACCAAGCTGTTGCTGAGTAGTCTGTAAGGGCATAACTACTGAGGGATTTAGTTGTTCAGTTGGCTCCTCCTTCCTTTCCTGGCATTCCTTTCCAGAGGTGACCCAGCTGCTGTACCACTCTATTAAATTATTTTTATAAAATCCTATGTCTGAGAGTTTGCTTTAGGAACCCTGGGTTTCAAACTTCAGAGTGAACTACCACCAGATGCCTGGACAGAAGGTTAAGTGAACTGGGAATACACATGCTGAACCTTTGAAAACCTAGCTAAATTATATAAAGGCTCATTACAAATCTATTCTAACTCCATTTCCTCCTGTATGTTTCTTCTGTGTAGGAAGTAATACAGTGAGCTTTGCCATGGTACTGTTAAGTTGCACTTTTAGAAACTCTTTAAGTGATCTAAAGCACCCATTCAGAACAAGGAGTTGCCATGAATAACTGGTGCTTTTCTCCCTTTTCCCTTATGTTCTTTCATAGGTGATTTGAAAGCTTTCTTAAGCATCTCACCATTTTTAGCTATAGGCAGACTCTGGAATCAGTATTAAACTTTACACAAGGCCCTTTTGAAACTTTGGCCTGACAGAAGCCTTCTACTGCTGACAAGAGTTAAGTAAGCAGAAAGAACACTAAAAGACTTCTGCCACTCCTAATTAACCCAAGGAAAACAAAATGGATTAAAGGGGGAAAAAACCCACTCTGTAATGACAGAGAAAAAAATTATTACATGTGAACTCCTTTAAGTAGTAAAGTCACTATAAAAACAGCAATACTTGACTGGTGCAATATGGGCTCAAAAAAAAGAAACCATTTCAATTGCTTCTGCATTAGTGCCACAGGTAATTTACCACCACTGAAAATGCACATGCTCAGTAAACAAAAATGTAACTGCTGAAGATTAATTGCTAATCAGTTCCAATCCACCTTAGAGCTTCAAACGCTAAGCAGTACAATCCTTTGCAATTGGTTTTCTCCTCTTATACTGGGTGCCACTGGGACCCACAGAAGAGGAGGCAGCTCAACCCTAATGCACAGGAGACAAGAGGTGAAGACAAACTAAGGGACAGGTAATGTCACAGGGCAAAGGAGACAAAGATGAGGCTCCTGAGCAAACAAATAGATTCTGGTTGAGCTAGGAAGAGGATGTGTACCCACAACAAGAGACTAACACCTAACAAAGGAACTGCAAAGCTGTGTGGCCTTAAAAGTGCTGCAAATGGACAAGAAAGCAGAAACCTCTAACTTCATGGTTCCCTCCAGCACAGGCACCAGAATTCAAAAGTGCTGTCATTTTCATACATAAAAATGCAGCAGAACCAAATGAAAACTATAGAATTGTCTTCCAGAATAGTCCACAGAGGACAGCTGTGAATTCTTTCCAGTCTCTCCTTGTGCCCAAGTGGTGGAAAACAAACAAACAAGCCACATCCACAAGGATCATTTTGTTTGGGTTTTTTTAAAAAGACAAAAACTTATTTTTAGGAAGACAAAAAGTCTTACTTTAAAGTTAAATGGTTGCACATTCAGAAATGCTATGACAGTTAGAACTACATAGCACCCTGGTACCAATAAAGCTGAGATAATCTACAGTGTCTTCACTCCTTCTCCCAAAGAACATGCATTGTAATGCTCCCTCTAATGACACTGTTCTGCCACAAACTCCTCTGTACACACATGATCAACAACACTAACAGCTGATGGTTGTAAACAGGACTGGGTAGTGAAGGGTGCTTTTCATTCCTCTCTAGACAAGGTGCAAAAAATTTTGCAGTGAATGTAAACAGGAACTCAAAGTCAGTCAGTCTTGTGACTAAAATGAAACCCACTCTGAGGAACTGTGTTTTAAACACAATGGGCTCTCATGGCCAAGAGGGCCACTTGTCTCCTGGGATGCATTAAGCAGAATGTGACCAGCAGGTCGAGGGAGATTCTCCTCCCCATCTACTCTGCCTGAGTGAGGCCATATCCAGAGTAATATATTCAGTTCTGAGTTTGCCAGTTCAAGAGAGGCAGGGAACCACTGGAGAGTCAAACAGAGGGATACAAAGATGATTAGGGGACTCTGAGATATCTCTCACGATATCTCTCTTATGAGGAAAGTCTGAGGGCCCTGGGGCTTTTTAGCCTGGAGAAGAAAAGATTTACACACCTTATCAATCCTCATAAATGTCTAAACGGTGGGTTTCAAGAGGATGGGGCCAGACTCTTTTCAGTGGTGCCCAGCTATAGGACAAAGGACAATGGGCAAAAACTTGAATGCAGGAACTTCCGCCTAAATGTGAGGGAAAATGTTAATCAAGGGAAAACTTCAGAGCCCTGGAACAGGGTGTCCAGAGAGGCTGTGGAGTCTCCTTCTCTGAAGACTTTCAAAACCTGCCTGGATGTGTTCCTGTGCAACCTGCTCCGGGTGAAGCTGGTTTATCAGAGGGGTTGGACTAGATGATCTCCAGAGTTCCCTTCCAACCCCCACCACTCTGTGATTCTGTAACACTGCAGCAAAGCTTCAACAGGATAATCTGCCAAGCGATTAAATTCAATGACTTCCAGGTTGTCACAATAAGTTCTTAATTTTCTTGACACTCAAATTGAGACCGACATTTTATTTCACACTTGCTGCAGTAGAAGTAAATGGGTACTATACCTTCAACACACTGTCCTACAAGAGGCATCCTGGGAAAAAAATACCAGGCTACAACAATAGGCTGAGAGCATCAGGATTGTTCAGCCTGGAGAAAACATGACTCTGGGGGGATCTTATAGCTGCCTTCCAGTACTTGAAGGGAAGCTACACAGGAAGGCTGGAAAGGGACTTTTCACAAGTGTCCAAGAACAGGACAAGGGAAATGGTTTTAAACTGAAGGAGAGTAGGTTTAGACTGGATCTTAGGAAGAAATTCCTCAGCATGAGGGTGGTAAGACTCTGGAACAGATTGCCCAGGGAGGTTGTGGATGCCCCTCCCTTGAAGTGCGCAAGGCCAGGCTGGATGAGGCCTTGAGCAACCTGGTCTAGTTAAGAGGTGTCCCTGCCTGTGGCTGGGAGGTTGGATGAGATGATCCCTAGTGTCCTCTCCAATTTAAGCCATTCTCTGATTCTGTGAAATCTCTTGCAATGACTCTCAAAGATGGGGATGCAAAAAGTAAGCACTGACATGGCCCCTGCTGTATCTCCTCATCCATCAGGCTTACAGAAGAACACTGAAAATAACCTCATTAGTATTTATGCACTAGTACAAGACTAAGCCACAGCAGCTCACAAGGGAATTCTGGATTGAGAATAAGCTTTGACATTATTTACTCACTGCAGATGACCAGAGACTGAAAAAAGCTCTATAGATTACTTCCTTGGTGAGTACCATTCACCCCACAAAAGTAACAGACTGCTCCCCTGAGTTTACTCTCCTGGAAAATTACACATCTAAATACACAGGACAGATTTAGGCTATAAATCCTTTACATTGGTCCTGCTGTTCAGAATGCAATCCTTCCAGAGTCATGGACAGTGTTTTAAAGCTAACAGAACCACATCTGAATTCTGATCATTACCTCAAGTTTTTAAAGGTGAATTTAAAAGCTGACCAACTATTTCTATCGTGAAGCAGACCACTGTCCCATCTTCCCTGCTCTATGCAAAACACATTAGCCAGCAATGGAAGATAAAATAAGAACATTCTCCAAACTTCCCTGCAATTATTTTCACAAAAAAAGTGTTTCTTACTCACTATCAGTCTTTCTGAAGAGTCTAATTTTCTACAAAGGAAAAAAATTAATTAAAAAAAAAATACTTTAAGCCTAGAAAAATTCTGTCAGTATTCTTTCCCTTCTTTCTTCTGCTTTGGTTATTCCTACATCAGAGTTCATTTGCTCTCACTAACACAGGACCCCTCTCCAATAGCTTACCTTTCCACATGCACGGCAGTGGTGTCGTCTTTTTGTGAATGTAAACTTGACTTGACAGTTCATGCAGTTGGGTGCCTCTGAATCAGGAACCCACACTGGTTGTTTCTGTGGGAAAGCTGCAGGTATTTTAACTGATTCTGTATTTTCAGGTGCATGATTTCCTCCAGCTTTAGAGCTGCTTTCCTCAGAGTGCTCAGCATCAGTACTTTTACCAACATTTATGCTGGTGCCTGAGAGAGGAGCTTCTGGGGTAATGGAACCAGCTTCCTGGTTTTCTCCCTCAGTTGCTTCTGACCTAGTCACTTGTGTCTGACCAGCAGCTCCTTGGGAAAGGCCAGGCAACTGCTTTGGCCTTGCACCTTCAGTATGAATATTAGGAACCAGTGTTTCACTACCCCTCTCAGTCACATAGTGAATAGAAGACATACTGCCTTCTGCTGCAGACTCCGTCTCACTGGCAGTAAGTGATGCTGCAGGATTACTGTTAGTGCTCATTATCTCCTCCAGGTTTGCCTGCATACGTCCTTCAGCGACCACTGTGAAATCCAGGTTGTTCAGATTTGTTACATTATCTTCATCTGCATCAGCTTCCATTAAGTTACTGTCACTGTCTGAAGACTTCAACACACTGGACTGAAGACTTTGCCCATACAAGAAATCATCAAGCTCAGCATCGGTTATTAGATTATCACTTTTAATAACATTCTCCTCGACAGTGAAATCACCCATAACCGGGCTCATACTTCCACTGTAATAAGGGTCTATACCAGCATCATATGCCTCATCTTCATATTCTAGAAAAGCAGAAGCAAAAGGTTTTATTTGCTGCGAATCACTATCATCAATTACACTGTCAGCGTCATACTTCTCTCCATCTGTATTTTCCATAACACTTTCACTGATTTTAGCATTATTCCTTTCCTGTTCATGCAAGTCAGTGTCTTCACTAGGCTCCCTGCTGGAGAGATCTATGTTAGGCTTTCCATCATGAACAGTTGAAGTATCACTAACAACCTCTGCCATTTCATTTTGAGGTTCAGAATTAACTTTTTCTTCTGTCACCACTAATGAACCACATATAGCTGCAGGAAGTGGAAGACATGACAGTGAGGCCTGGACATCCTCAGCAGAAACACACAGAGGTGAAGCAGAGTGGAGCATTTCATTGCTACTAGGTTCCTCACTACCTGTGTTCTCTTCTGTGATTTGCTGTTCTAATTCTACTCCAGCTCCAGTTTGACATGAGGAGCCCAGTGAGTCACAGCTCCCAGGTAACGCTGCAGGGGCACTGTGCAGGTCTGAAGGCACAGATTCAAGATCACTCCTGTCTTTTGAGTCTACCTTTTCTGTGGCATTTCTTCCATACACCTCCTTGTTTAACACAGAGCTCACAGTCTCACCTTGTGGTTCACAAGGCAATTTTTCATACATTTTCTCATCTTTGGGACTGTATGCACTTGAATTCTCTGATGTTCCAGGGATGCATGGGGTATTAAGGCAAGCAGATTGTTCAAGCTGATCAAGTACTTCACTGCACTTCACTGATTCCCTGTGTTGATCATCAGGTGCATCTGAGATCTCTGTGGTAGCATAACTGTCTAATTTTAAAGCTAAATTATTAATCTCCTTGGTTTTCACATGTCCTGAATCTTGCAGTATTGAGGTCCCATTGCTCTGCTCTGTAGCTGACACACCACTGCAACCAGCTGATGACACAGGAGTAGGGACAGGCATGCAAGGTATGCCAAAGCAAATCAAACCTTCACTGTATGGGGTGTCATCTGGCTGCAACTTTTGAGTATCTTCATGAGCAGCCACTGAATGGATTAAGTTACCTGTGTCATTAACAAGATCACACACAGGTATACTACACCTTCCCAGGTTTGCAGACTGAATTTCGTTCAAGGAACCACTGTCCACAGTGGACAAAAGATCAGGCCCAGCAATGTTCCTCTCATTTTGTGGTGAATAACACAGCAGTGCTTCACTTGTTCCAGCGTGGCTGGCTAGAGATATTTCTTCTGATGAAGTACAATTGTTAGCATCCTCTTGCAGTTTTGGTGTTGGGTAGACATGTTGTAAGCAATCCAGAACTGAAGAAAGCGAATTGTGTTTTGAGTCATATGGATTTTGAGGTGTTCTGTAGCAGTCGTATTCATCTATTTTAAGCAAAAAGAGATCAAAAGCAAAGTTTATAAACTCCTCTTTCCAGAGTGCACTCCCTCTAAATCCTATCTATTAATCATTATGAGCTTTTATTTAGCATATGTTACCTTCAAATCCCAGTCACACTCATTTGAGCAATATTATGCTGGAGAAAAAGGCAGCACAGCAACTAACCTGTACTCTGTTCAAATTCATCAAGCAGTTTGTCCAGGTCACAGACTGCAGCTTTAAAGTAACTGTCCATTCTAGTTACAGTTCAAGTGAAGCTTTAGCCTTCTGAAACCTAAAAAGAAAAACACAGTGTTTCATTCACAGTATTCTGCTGTTCACAAAGTCAGTGTTATTGTTAGAAGTCAACTTCTATGATTTTTTTTTTTTTAATAACACTTCCTTCTCTCTCCAGGTAAAAAGCAAGTACAATACGTTCCACAGTATATTTAGTGCACAATGTACAATATACTCAAAAATTTGCCTTAAAGTCAGGAAATTGAGGTTGTCTTAAGACCAAATGCATCTGAAAGCACATAATAAGGCATTATAATGCCAGGAAATTTAAAACCAGAAGAGATACTAGGATCTTTTAGTCTGACACCCTATACATTTTATGCTGTGCAGTTCACAAAAACCCCTAAACTAATAAGCCATTCACTGCCCTTGCAACACAAGTGAACTATTTACATAAATTATGCCTACATAATCCCTGACATTTCATGCTTTAAACTGCAGTAGGAAGCACAAAGAAGATCTTACTGTTGGCAGAAGCACCAGTGAGAGAAAAGTCTCCTTGAGGAGTTCAGACCTCACCTCCAGTTCAACACTGAGCATGTGAACACCACACTTAAAAGACTCTCCTATGTTCCCTGTGTCATTAACAAGATCACACACAGGTATACTACACCTTCCAACCTATCAACCTCAATTCACTTTCAGCCATGACCTAAATGTTTCAGGTAAGACTAAACACAGGCTAAAACCTGAAATGCATCAGGACAAGAAAGCAGGTAACCAGCTGAAGCACTGCAGTTTAACAGCCCCCTTAACACAGAGCTGCAAGGTGTTTAAGCATGTTGAGATCAGTGCTCCTCCCCCTCTCAAGCCTTCCTCTAAGGCCAGAAAAAAAAATCAAACCAAAACAACACCACAGCATGGTAATTCAGCTTATTATCTCTGTTGTACTCAAAACACAAAAACTGTTAACTCAATAACTTTCTCTGAGACCCGAACAATTCTATGTATTTTTTAAAATCTCTTCTTAGAGACTAACCCACTCATGAGTTATGAAACACACTCCCTATAGCAAAACATCCCATTTCATTTGTTTAATGAAGATTTTCAGGCAGTCTATACTGTTCCTTTTTGGTCACTCTGAACAGCTTTTTAATTCCATGTCTTTTTCACATCTGAACCCATACCGTGCAATTACCTATAACATACAATCAAGATGTTATTTACATTTTCCTTAAGTGAACTGAAAGGACTTAGATCCCTTTAATGTCTGGAAACTAGACCTGTGGAGGTCTGTCTGCTTTTCCTTCTACCCTCGTTAGTGCATTTAGTCTCTGCCCTGGCTGACTTCACTCCATACCCTAACCAATGTACTTTGACCATCTAGTACTGTCTCTTCTCAAAGCTGGGAGCCCAAAGAAGTATTTAAATCCTCTCCTATCAGTTACACCACTCTGCAGCAACACATCTAGATTCAATGCCTTCCTCAGTCCACTTAGGTGACAGGTTTCCTCTCAGTGGGTGGTTTCACATCAGCTGCATTCACTTAGCACCACATTAACACGCATGCAACAACAATACTTTAAGGTAATATATAGTTCAAATAGGCTTGCAAAGCACAAGAAAGGTGATACATAGTATGCATCATAACTTGATGCAGCACTTTGCACCCACATATACACCAAAAAAACCCAGTCTGAATACACTACTGCACTGACATCCATACCCATGAATTAGTAATTCCCATGGTCTTCAGCACGCTGCACTGCACATCAAGTCTCACGTGGCTATTTAATGAACTTTAAAGAGCAACAAGTACATACTTCATGCCGTTCCTCTTACTCTCATTTGAACACAGTTCTTGCCTGCAGCAGTCAAAGCATTTCACAACCTGTGGCAAGTGGGAGACTACAACTTGAAGTGGAAGTTATTTCAGTTAAGAGCCTGACAAGATTAACAGGTTTTGGTGATTCATTAAGAGACAGTGAAATACAGACCCCATCTTTAAAGCATGTATTTATGGACAGCAACAAAACTGCCAGTCAAAAATTAGTCTAACAGATCACATAGACTGAAATACTGAAGGATTATGAGAAAACTGAGGACCAAGAAAGACATAATGCTGACTTACCACCTCTGTAGAGATATATTCTACAACCTTAGCACTCAGGGACAACTTCAGTTACGATTAATGTGGGGACTAACAGCTGTGACCAAAAGGGGTGGTGGGCTCAGTCCCTTCATCACTCCTCAGGCCTTTGCTTCTCCTGGCACCCACTCTCACCTCATCCCAAGAAGCCAGGCCAAACAGCTAAAAAGACATAAAGCCATGTACTTTAGAGGGAGATCAAAGTTAGTTTTTTTGCGTTGTTTCTCCACCAAAACAGGTCTCCAAGGCGAAACAAACATCAACCTACTACAATCTCCTGGAAAGGATTTGTAAATCTGGCTCCTTCACTCTTAACCACCTACACAAAACAGCATTCCCAGAGTCACAGCCCTGCAAGTTAAGCTCCCCATTTACTGCAATCAAATTTTTGATGGCTTTTAAAATCAGCAATAAATGTTTTTCAAAAAAAATCCCTAACTGGTAATGAAGGAAGCAAACACCTATCACAAATAATAAAGACTTAAAAAAAAAATCTGAAATTAATTTTGTTCAGGTGTCTCAATGGCACCAGAAGCATTAAAAAAAAATTTGTATTTCAAAAAATATATTAAAGAGAGGCAAGTAAGCACTTCAGCTATCTTTATCTTACATTTAAAAAGACTTAAGAGACTATCCATTATTCTGCACTCTCAAGTAACACAAGACAAATTCTGAACTAAGCACATATGCATTACTAGATTATAATGTGAACTAGGCAGACTAGAAGGATGCACTGGCACTGTATGCTGCTAGTGCATTAACCTCCCTGAAAAAGGAACTTAATGCTAAGTGACCTTATTGTGGCCTTCCAGTA